AGCGTTCGTGTCTCTGATTGGACGAACGATGTGTTTTCACAGTCGCTAGCTTCCAATCTTTGAAATGCATCGTAAATAAAAATCGTTCAAGCGCACTTTCCATACAATAATCTCTATGTGGACCCCTTGTTCTAATTGGCCACCCGCGCAGTCAAGATGAATAATCTTGCCCTTTGGAGATCGTCTGCTTTGATCCCGTGCAAGAAAAAAAATTATGTGGGACGGACGTAAACAAGTTCCTTATTTGGAAGGAGTAGAAGGGTCGACATCAGGTTTTGAAATGAAACCTCTTTTAAATTTCAGAGGTGAAAGAAATATTGAAAGCCCGAAAATTAATCTGAAGCTTTATTTACTTTAGTTGAAGCACAAAGCTTCCCTGCGTGTTAGTTTCAAAATTCTGGGAGTTAAATTCCTGTATGATTTTTCGTGATATTGTTTAGCTTAAAGTTTTTAAGACAAAGATTTTATTGTTAAGAAATATCGATTCTTGTGTAGCTATCCAGGGAGGTTTGTGATTCCAAATCATTTGAGTAATTTAATTATAATCATTTTGAAAATATGATTTATTACAGGGTTTATTGTGCTGTCCATTATCACAACAACAACTTGTCATAGTCTACAAGTATTCATANGAAATCTGAGAAAATGCTACTGAAACGATGAAGTATTTATAGGTTCAATGAACTCAATTAAATATTTTATTTTAGTTGCTGAAATTCATGGATTACCAGGGACTCAGACTACCTTTCAAGATTTTCCCATGCACTTTCATCCTTTGCTGTCAACAACCTCCACAGAAACAGCTGTATACTGGCTAACACTTTCTGCTATCATATGTCTTATTTTGAGACAAATGGAAGTCTAGCTGACCTGAAAAGACTGAGTGGTTATTTTTGTAATTTATATTGGCACTGTTTTCATGACGATTATCATCTTCAATACACGTGATTAACATAACCTGCATTCTCTATGACCACAAGCAACATAGTAGCTTGTTATCATATGCTAAGAGTAAACACCCTCCTTGTCATGATTACAAGTGCGCTAGCATGACCTCCATAGGGATGGAACTAAAAATGATGGCCAGGAAACTTATATTTAAATGGAATATGGGCAGTGATCCAAAAAACAAGTAAATGACTTTACGTTTGGTTGTCTAATTTTGCCAACATCTACCAACAAGAGAGTCCATGCATTGAGCAAACTAGATCTCTGGCAGGAAAAATTTATTTTCATGAACAGGGAATCTTCCATATGCCAACCCATTCAGTAACATGGCTCAAGTGAGCATAGGGTCCAGAGACAGTATACTTCTCTAAAAATTTCCATTTAAATTTCTCAGAAGTGTTGTTTGAAAATATCAAATAAGATGTTACACAGCTGTTTCCACTATGCAGAAATGTAGCATTTGTCATCAATGTAATTTAAAAATTTTTTATGGTAATTGAACTAAGCGGAGTGCACTTGGGTTTCAAATGATACAAGTTATTTCCCAATCAAACAAGCCCACAGCAGAAGTTTGATTTGAAATCGCAAGTATGATTCCAGACCAAAATAGCCCTTTTTACAGTTACCGGCGCCATATTGGATGTGTAGCCGCGCAAACATGATAGCGAGGTTAGTGTTGAGTCGCGTTGCAAGTTCTAGTGAGAGTTTAGTGTATTGTGGTGGTGCTCTGTCCTTTTCATCGAGATATTTCGACAATGAACGATACTTTCCCTACGCAGGATATTCCTCCTTCTTCTTCGAAA